GGGGGGGGGTGTGGGGGGGGGTCTGAATTGAGCGATCAATTATTAGACCCGGACGTCCCAACACTTGCTTCGCAAGACAAACTCAAGGTATCCCCTAAAGGGCTACCTTTCGTGATTTGTGTTCATTCTTCTTGTTTTTAGACCCCCCTCTCGAGTTATTCCAAGTGGCGAAAAACAAAGTCACCTAATAAGGCCAAGCAGCCGTCTATGCAATGCACAGCGTCTACAGTTTCTGCTATCTCTGCTGCCTCTATCGTCCTGCATGGGGCTCGGGGCATAATAAGTGAGTCGTCCATTGTTTGGCTCTGCACCCACTACGACAAATTTTTGAGTGCAATCCAAGGATGCTCTTAGCCATGCTTTAACTTTGGTTTTCCTCCACAGTGGTCTGCTTCGAGAAAGATTGGCCATTGTGACCCAAACAAGAGCTGGAACTATAGCTAATTCCCATCCGTCCCCGCAACATGCATGGAACACACCCCGTGGTGTAGAACCATCCAAAGACTAAACATTCTTCCACGAACATGGACCCAAATCTCTATTCTTGTGTGACCTTGGCCATGCTGCTATGCTTTCCTCACCCAAGTTGATTGGACCAAATGCCAACACTTAACCATCACCAAGATGAGGCATGCCAGGTGAGAAACGACGTAACGAAGCTCTCATCTGTCCGGAAGACCGTGTGGCGCTTTAAATTAACTAACCATGAGGGTCTGAACCTGGAGTCGAAGTCCAAATCGAACGGATGTGTCATTCAGCTCCTTGCGGTACTGGAAGCTGATCGCGGTACTGGTGTGGCTGGGGCGACTCTCGAGGCTCGTAGGTATCCTTTCAAGGTGCGCAAGCAATTCCGTTGGTGCAAGTCTGGGACATCGAAAGCCAAGCAACGGGCATGTAGTAGCGTCCTTGTTCCTAGTAGTAATGCCAGGAGCTACTAATCGTTTCTTGCTACTAGTAGACGTGCCCTTGTTACTAGTAGCTTCTTGTTCCTAGTAATACATCGGGGCTGATCGAAATGCCTTGAATCCTTGAAGCCGGCAAGTGTGTGTGTGTGTGTGTAACCTTTGGAGTCACAAGGTTCCTTTTGGAATGTTTGTTTGGTTTTCAAGCAGGGGGCGACAGGGTCACTGCATAGCTGTCGCCAACGAAGCTCTATGCAGATGACCAGGATGCAGGGACTGATCATCCCTGTGTACCTGCTTTGGTGATCTTTGGTGTGATGTGTCCAAGCTGTTACTCCAATCTTCCTGTACAGTGCCAGTGAGTTCTGCAGATGTGCACGAACGCCGTCATCTTGTCGATCCGAACTCGTCGATTTGGTGCTTGCGCTTTGGGCCTCACCTCCGTTTGAAGACCCCCGAGCATCCGTTGGTTTTTTACCTGTACTCTTAGGAAATGGTTACCTAGGCCGGTGTGTGGCAACCGCTTTCAAATCAGTACGCATTTCTATAAGTGTGTGTGTGATACTATGCAGGCAGCGTCTCTCACGAACTGCCATCTGTGAGCGTACTTTTGAGCGTTATTTGAGTAACCTTTGAGGGCTGGGGCTCCAAGTCACCTTCTCGAAGGTCATTTACACCCAGGTCGGTTAAATTTGTGGCTCAGTCGCTGGGCTGGAGCAGCCGGAATTTCAGTGGATGGTGGTGGCACGCGCAGGGATAGTTACGCCTGACAAAAGCACAACTGTCCGTCTTGATGCTCGGAACTGTCTTTGAAACCGTGGGAATGGGACAAAGCTGGCCTAAAATAGTCGTACATGTACATGTTGCGAGGGTAGACTCGTGGTACCCGAGCACGTGATCCCCCAAAAAATCATACAACAATAGATGATCCTTTGGGATTTTTGACCAACATGGCCCTATCAGGGTTGAAGATACTCTGCGAAATGGGCGAGGTCCCATGACACAGGTCGAGGTCGACTCCGCAAAACGGACTGTCCTGCTGCCTCGCTGAGCCCAGGTTGCCAGCTCACTTGGAAGTTCACCGGCATGCCTCCGCACCAATCGGCCGAGTCCACATGGTTTCTGGACTGCATACGTTCCAACTATTTCCAATTATATAGTTTCCGGTTTCCATAATCAATCATACACTCATTCGACTCATTCAGAATATGTTGATAGAAGTTCCGCACCAGTTGAAATTGATGGATTCCACCTGTACATCGGCATGGTGAATTAGTTGGTTCATTTCAAGTTGGAGATATGTTTGCCAAAGAAACACGCACTTATACACCTTGATCTGTGTCCAACACATGCATTGAAATACAAACTTTAAGGTTGATGTAATGTCAGCTTTTCTATCAATTTTGACATCACAAGGCTTGATGAACCGCTGAGCGGATCCCCAGTTCTCCACCAGCACAACACCTCAAAGGAAACTTGACAACTTGATCTGACAATAATCATACATACAAATTATATACAATAGTCAATCGCCTCCCCAACGCCACAGCACGCGCGCTCGCCACGTGCCTACGCGGAGCTCTTCCAGACCCTGCCGCAACGCCAGGTACCGAGCAGAGCTCCCAGAGAGCTCCTCCAACAGCACAGCGCAGGGCAGCACTTCCACCACTCGACCACGAAGGGCAGCACCGCCTCTGAAAGCGGGGCAGCCAGGCACCACGCAGAAATTGGAGAAGTCGTGCCCTCCAAAGGATGATGTTCCATTATGTTCCATTCAACTGGTGTGAGGATGTTCGTCCAAGCTGATGGATTTGATGTTTGTGATGTTACTGTTGATGTTTGTCTGCTTCGGTTTGGACAAGTGTTCCTTTTTCTCCCTCCAGTGGTGGAACTCTTCGGTCTTCTGCACGAATCATGTCTGATCGTTTCTCGAGGATGGTCAAAAGACCACGCAAACACGATATGTTGAGGCTCAGGGGGCTTTTCTTGGCTTTGGTCAATCAGCCAAGGATCAGCGACATCCTGAACCCTTCTCAAACCAAGGGCCCAGGGTCATATGATCCAGCCCGTCGCGAAACAAACAAGTTTAGGTCGATCCCAGCTGACACCTCCTCCGAACCCACTCTGGACATTCGCCCTGCGTGCGACGGCAAAAAAGGGCCTGCACTCATCTGGCCGCATGCTCAGTGATATGCTGCGCTTTCCGACATTGCTTCTGGGCATCTAAGCATTTTCCAGTCTATGGCGAGATATAGCCAATGGGTAGCTGTAGTTGGGTGGACACTGGGAATTGACAACCAAGTCGTGCTTGAATGATTCGTGCTGTGGTTGAATCATTCCAAAAGTGAATCAAAGCAAACTCCCTGTTTTGAACCTCTGACTCTCTATAGGTTCCGGACCTACTGGTAAGCAAATGAGACTTTCTGAATACTGCACTTGGTCTCACATACATCGTTGTGTACCAATCACAACCCACAACCATTATAGCTATATATAGTCATAGTGGAACCACAAGAGGTGGAACAGAAGAGGCACGGGGTGCAAGATGATTTTTGGAGGGGTTGGTTGGCTATGCTTGGCTGCTTGGCTTCTTTTCCATATCTACTTTCGGATTACTAGCTCATAGCATAGCATTGCGCATAGCCTTTACATGGCCTGTGAATGACAAATCCCAACATCTTTGTTAATGCCCGCATCATCTGTGGAGCCCCGCTGGTCACAGGTTGCTTGGTCGCCACCGGCCGCTGCTTTTGTGGCGTCGGGAGTTCTTGTGGAACAACATCACAGGTTCGTAATGGTACCAAGCGGTTTCACAAGCAAGTGATTGTAGTGATTCATCAGTCCCAAGGTCTTTTTTGTTGTGCCATAATAAGGAGTACCGCTCGATCATCTAGAAAGTACAGAATCACCACAAAGCCAGAAAGGTGGCACATGGCACATAATTACCCTGAAAGCATTTAAATGTTTAAAGCAACACGTCTGACTTATGCATCTATATAAATGCAATGTATTTACCGCTGGGAGACATCGAACGCACACCCTAAGAAAACATTGTCTCCACCTGCTGGGTAAAGTCAAACATCTTCATGGCACAACCTGCTTGAGGAAGGATACTTACCTCAGCCCCCTGCCCCATGTCCCTATTCTTTTGGCCAATTAGTTTCTTGTCCAGCAATACCAAGTGCAATGTCACGATTTCTGGAGAGGAACCCTTTTCCTTCACAACCAAAGGTAACTCCAGCTCTCTACCAACCGTCACATCCACCCGTCACATCCATCATCCAACTTCGATGAGCAGCTCCATACATCACATCCAAGGCTCTCATCCTCCAGCTGCGATGCCAACTGTGATAAGGATTTTGCATCGTCACCTTCAGCCCAGCGTTTTCGGGCGCAAAGACAGGAGCAAGTGAGTTAGATAGCACGTCCATAGTCAGTTGTGAAGATCAAATGTTTGGCCAATTCACGGCCAACATGCTAAGATGCACCACATAGGGCCTTTGAAACAAGAATTCTGCACATGTGGCAAATATACGGAGTGTCTTGTTCGGATCCTAGTAAAAGGGGCACATCCAAGCTCTCAAGTGTGCGGCAGTTGGCTGCTTTCCCTGAACAGAGGGGTTCCTGCCAAGTGGCTGATACACGCTTCGACCAAAAGACACCAGAAAGTCCTGGAGGACGGCACCTGGGGCGGTTGTGTCATAATACAGCTCTCAACATGGTCCGATGTTACGTATTATGACGCACACAAATAAACACACATATATCTATATATGTGTAATCGACATATATATATATATATGTGTATGTGTGTCACCTCACCTATATACGCAACAAGCATGGAATTCAACACGCGCACCACCACACACCTCTCTTTGACCAAATTGATTCCCAAATTCCGTGAGGTTTGACCAAAAACCTTGGGCACAAAGAACTGGACCCCAAGTTCGCTGATGTGTTGACGACGCAATTGCAAACAACAACCACGACGACGACGAGGACGAGGACGAGGACGACGACGACGACAACGTACAGGATCCGGAGAGCAGGGACAGGAAAATTATACTTATATAGCTCAAATGAGGCCAAAACTCATGCTGAGGGCCTGCTTGTCAGTTCCAAAGACCAGGACCCTCCCGCTGCCACCAAGTGTCCGCCAGGAAGGATTCCTGGAGCAAGCTGGCGAATGGGCGAACGGGTGCGGTGCATGTTGGCTGCACCGTCATGAAAACCGTTGTTTAAATGTCAACCACGCTGCACCGCACCAGCAACATTCTCAAGGTGACTTCATCATTGCTCCTTATCGGTTCCTTTGCATTCCTTTGCTGGGGCTAGGCTGGCATCCAAAACAGCAAGCCTGTCCCTTGGAATTTCTTGGGGCAACTTTCTGGTCGCCTTTATGTCACTTTTTTGTTTGCTCTGAAGGGGACTCGCTGTGCCCTCCCCCGCCAAGACCCCGCTCAAGAGCCACGAAATCTTCCACTATGCTGCGCCTGCCGCCTGTTCAAAAGTCTACCGCTCTGGATGTAATTAGAGGGTGTGATGCCCGATATCTTTTTAATACCCACAGGAAGTCAAGACACCCCAACTGCTGAAATTGGCTGCGGATGTGGAGGGTGTATGATGATGTATGGCCAAAAGGCTGTGAACAGGACTCCGCGGCAAACTGTGAGCCCGCATAATATTGAAAAATATTCCCAACAAGAAATGAACAACATCCCGAATTAAAAGGCCCCCACTATAATAAGTGCCGCAGTGATCCAGCACCTCGTTTTACGGGATTTCTTCCACCAAAAGCATGCTCATTAAACTCCCAAGCTAGTGCAAGAAAATCCAGCCCTTCCCGGAACATCCTATATGATTAAGTATAGCTTTGCCTCAAGCCACCCACACCAGCTTGTAGAGGCTGATATGCTCGCCAAGGTCTAGCCTACCCATCCCCACATGGTAGCTTGCCCATTGGGACGTGATATTGTTCTTTCAACTGTGCTTCACTCCCTTCGCTCACTCCCTTTGCAATAAGACAACACTCACCACGGTAGCAGGCACTAGATAGACATCCTCTGCCGGAATTATATAATTGATCCTTTCCAAGCCCTTCACGCACTATGATGTGTCCAGGGCTGCCAGAAGCAAAAGCTACGCAAGTTTACAGAGTTGGAGGTAAATGATCCGATTACGTTCATCTTGGGAGCACTGCGCCGTGAATTCCGGCCTATAGACAAACAGAACACTTCGTCCCATAAGTGTTGCACATTCCAATTTTCGAGGCATGCTCCGACCGCTGCTCCTGCTCCTCCCCACCAGCGGACTCTGCAAAGGCTTTCCTCGGAGACCGACGGCTCTATGTGACGGAGTCCACCAACAAAAGGCCGACGGGACTCCGACAGAAAAGCACCATGATTTGTTTGTGGTTTTCCTTCCAGGTGCATGTTACTACACAAACTCTACGGCATTATGGGTCTCTACTGGTCGTTTGAGAGTCTTCAATGAGCCTTGGGAAAGAAACACGCATCGGAACTTGTGATATCTTGTGGCACCTGTCTATCCCATTCCATGTAACAGTGGATAATTAATGATGGTTAGTAAAGGCATGTCTCAAAAATAGCGATAATATCTTATATAATATATTGACTGTTACGGGTCATGCGGAACACGCACAAGGCATCTGTGACCTACGCATCCCGCAACACCGACGCATCCCGCAGGCACGGCACATGATGAAGTCGCTGTTCTGGTCATACGCACTCCGCCGATCAGGATCCGAGAGGACCTGCGACGTTCATCGACGTCTCGGCAGAGACGGAGACGTCAAAAAAACGGTTCGGGTTCGCGCTGGAGCACGGCTGTGATCTGCAAGGAGGTGAGCAAACATTACAATTGAGGTGAGCAAACATTGCAATTAAAACACACAACTCAACACACTTTAGCTAGTTTATGTATGTTTTTCTGATTTGCTGGGACGACTGTCAAAGTTGCTCCTATTTGGAGTGTCCTCTAGCCATGTAGCTCCCTAAAATGCTTGACCGTCGACCTTCGATGGTGACGGTGAAGGAAAGGACTGAGCACAATGGAATACAATGGAGTTGTTGTCTTCTTTCATTCAATCCCCCAAATTGACGGAACAAACGGGGAACATTCAGGGACCAATTTGGAACGCTTTGGAACAGCTCTTCCATCTTCACTTCCATCTTCCCGCTTATCGACTGCCCCCCCAAAAAAGCAACAAAGTCTTATCGAGAGCCGAGAGCCTTGCTCGGCTTCTGCAGTTCTGCGAGTTTGTTCAACGGAATGCCTGTCAAGTGGGTGATTCTCAATTCCCTGACAAAATAAGACCATATTGGAACATAGTACAACACGCTGTTATCCCCATACCACCCCTCAGGCCCTTTGGCTGACAAGGCAGGCAATCCGTGTTGGAACAAGGCAGGGGATCGCATGGTCCTGGTGAATCATCAAGCAGAAAATCGAGCGGACAAAATCAAAACCGATCGCCTCATAAGCTTCCTGAAGGCTTTGGAACTTCTCTTTGGCATTCGGGTCCTGCTGATTCTTGTCCTCGTGTGCGAACGCATGGACACGCGTGCTTCCATGTGTGTTTTTGTTGCGCATGGGCAGTGGGCACGGATTTTGCCCTTCTCATTGCGGTGAGCTGGGTGACGATGGTTGTTGGAGCCTTCACCACAATGGAGAAGAAACGATGAGGATAAACATAGCGCCCAAGTTGAACTCCCCCCAATTGCTCCTTTGCGGTCGGCTTCTAGTATGAAGCCTGCTGACCGCTGACCTACTTGGCACATGCACAGGCCTGTTCGTGCTATTCACCTGTAAACACATGTATCCTTCCTGATTGTGTAGAGAGTCACATCTACTACCAAACTAAGCACACCAACTACCATGGGTTCGTAGTCGTACCTTTGAGAGCATTGCCAGGTCATCATGTCGTTTCTAGCTGATGGCCTTCCTTTAGATGTTTTCTTTCTGACTCACACTGCACCCCATGCAATCACCACCTGCCCAGAAACCCTTGGAGCACTCAAACTGTTTCAACGACTGGCCTCCCATCCACATACTATGGTGATCAGAAAGAATCGGCTTCAAAAGGGTGCATTTTTAAGGTGAACCCATTTCTGGCAACGAAGACCCGCCACCATTCCAAACAGCTTGCGGCCAACCCGGTCCGGATGCAGCTTCAAAGCCTGGTCAGCCGCAGCTCTCAACGTTTTCTCCAAAGAAGTGATGCAAGTGATTGTCACCACAGGATGTTTGGCAAACGTTCAACAACAAATCTGCATCTGGCATGCGTATAGTAGTAATGTCTTAACTTCAGCACAGTAAGCAAAATCTTCATGTTGTGTATCTTCTATACTTACTATAGTTAGGTGATTGTGGTTTAGTACTAGTGCTCAAGGACATCGGCATCCATCATTTTCGAAGGTAAACGGACTCATATGAGCATAACGCCACGTAATTTATGGTACTGCAAAGAAGGGAAGAACACCCTCATGAATCGCCGTCATACTTTGTCAAGCATAAAATGGCCAAAACCACTAGAATTCATCCATTTTCCCCGGACAATGGATTTTTGGGAGGCCACCGTTGCAACACACAGACACAAACACACAAAACACAGACCGCTGGAACTGAATAGGCCCACTGGTCTTCTGGTTTTCCACCATGTTCTCCTCACTGATGATGAGGGCATTCCTCCCGGCAATCCTCTACCCAACAACACACCTGTGAGCAGTTGTGCAAGGAACACTTCCTCCACATGGCAGCTACTATGGCTGCTATGTTCTTCGCAGCCAAGTATTAAGAAGACCAAATATGACTAATTACTGTAATTCACCCAACCCCCTTGAGTGTTCATAAGCGGGTCGATTGTCATGTTATACGAGAAAAGGATCGTCATTTCATAAGGCTTCAGTCACGGGGGATATTCACCCAACCTTGGGTTGCCAGTTGACTGCGAAATGAAAAGAACTTGAAACGACTGGAAGAAGTCCTCATCTCATCTTTTCACCCAAACTCCTGCCATCTTGCGCCGTCCCCGAACACTTCCCGCACAAGTTGGGCCCCGGCCAGCTTCCGATACCTGGGCCGTTTTGGTGGGTTTGAAGTGGAACTGTCACAGAATGCTGGAGTGGAAAATGGTCCTAGAAATCAAGGATCCTTGCGTATAGTAGTTGTGTTGTGGACTGCATTGCTCGCTGCACTGCCTTATCCACCACAGACAAGACATCTTTCTGATGGGAACTTAAAACATCCAGCACCACAGGTCACCAACCCTTGAGAGTTCCAACACATCTTTTGAGCACGTTTATTTGATATATTATTTGTTTTCTTTGAGTCAGTGATGTTGAGAATGCAACAGTAATTCGTAAGCACCGTAAGCATTTTTATGTAGGCAAGCCTGCTTCTTTGCCAGCCGTCAGGGAAAGGTATGTATTTAATGAGCAACTCCCGCAGGTTCAAACGCCACAACAGCTGGCTTTGCTGAGGCCCATAGAAACCAAGGATCCTTTTGTTTGGGTTACCTTGGTGGTCCAAACATTTGCTCTGCGGAACTCCTGTCACATGCAGAAGGGCTGCTGCAGCTTGATTTCCTCGCCATTGGCATCAGGCGCTACGCCCAGAATCCTGAACACAATTGTTTTTGCGCAGAAGGCCGTCCTTCAGATTCATTCAAGACTTGCTAACTGATTCGCCTGTGAAGTAATCAAGCTTGAAGAGTGCTGCTTGAAGAGCACTTTCCAATTTCATCAGCAATCAGCAGGCATGCTCTTTCAATCGGGAGAAGCCAAGGAAACTTAGTCTAAAAGTTTTGGGTGGGTCTCTAGTTATCAGTCAGGGTAGATAGATCCCCTAAACAAAAAGACCATGCCGCGCATGCTTCTAAGCAACCCAGTACCAACTGTGTTCCCCTATCCAGGACTGTTCTGGGGCTCTCAGCGCTTCACCAGAAAGCAAAAAAGCGAATCAACTGCTTTCATTAGACCTCTTTTTTGGGGTGTAGCACAAGGTACCTACAGCAAGCCAAAGCCTAGCCCACTCTAGGACATTCACCATAACCTCTTTAGCCCCCAAGATTCCCCAAGTAATTTCCCCTTCGGGAGCTCTCCAACCTAATCAGTGCCCTCCACTCCCCATGCCGCCACAGCTCTGGTAATACGTTCCATCACTGGCGAGTGCTGCGTCTTCCATTGCAAAAAGTCACAGCAACCCGGCGGAGCCGCGGGTCACAAACCCGTGCTCTTGTTGGTTCTCACTTCCATCATCTTTCATCTGGGACAAGCTTTCCCGCATCAAACTTAAGACATGGCATGTGTCCTTTTTTAAGGATTGGAGCTAAAGAGGACTTTGAATGGCGTTAAAGAATGTGTTAAAGATGGTTTTGAATAGGGGAAGAATGGTAAGACTGTAATGCACTTGCTTCTTTGACGAGTTTGTGATAGGATGTCAGTTTCAGGAGACATGCCGAGATGGTTTAAAAAACAAGCCTGAAATGCCCTCATGTACGCCGTTCTGCGAGGGCTTCTTCTTGCCCACTAACAACACCACACTCCTCTGGTGCTTCAAAACCCTCGAAGCCCTGTGTTTCTTCTTTCTTCTGGTGGGCTTGCGGAAATCTGCAAAGATAGCCCCTATGGTTGCCTCTGTTCCAGGGTCCAGCGAAGTCACAGTGTCTTAACAGTGTGCAAGCTTTTGTGCATCAACACTTGGGCCCGACACCAAACACCAAAACTCACTTGGCTCACGGCTATCAATCCAAGGTCAAGCAAATCCACTCCCCTCAACAACCCATTGGTACGTTCTTTTGGGGAGAAAGGGGTGCCAACTCAGGGTCATGCTTCAATCCCTTGAATCTTCACGCAAAGACCCATTCCCTGGCGTAGAACCCTTTGTGGTGAGTAGAGTGCCAAAGTTGCTAAAAGGGAAGTATGGGAGAGTGCCACAGTAACCGTTCAGCCAAACAGAACATGCATATACATCATATAAATAAATATAATACAGTATACACCTCTACATATGAAAGCATGGAAGTGGATTGAATGGCATGGTCCATGGTGGTTTACATACCCTACAACTCCACAACCAGGATTTCAACTTCCATGTCTGCTGGACTGGATTAACTGGTGGTCTCGCCACTCCTCGGGCCTCGCCCCCCCACTGGGCCTCTTTTGAAGCCAATTGCTCAGCTGCCTCAGGAAGTATGGTTGAGTCGGTGGCTGCCAGTGTTTTCTCCGCAGTTCGCTATGGCAATGTTCTCCGGCCCAGATTCGTTGGAAGAACACACAGGTTCAAACATTTTGTCCACGGATATTGGATGGTTGGATATGTCCTGGCAGGGTGGGGTTGCACAGCCACCATCCCAAAAGTAGCTGGATGACTTCTGCACCACACTCAAGCCAGCCATGAGAATCCGTGTTCAAAGAGATTCGAAGAGTATGTCAGTATGTTCAAGAAACTTGTACAGTCCTTTTGCTTCCACCGCCACTGGGAAATTCACCCTCATCTACAAACAGGGGGTCGTCCAATTTCATGTGATGTGCCCAACTGCGTGTGAACGTCCAAAATCGGCTTGCTTGCTACGCGGATTTGGTCTGTCCAGGATGCACTGTGCTCCCCCTACGACTCCAGTGAATAGTGCTTTGGTTGAAGGAACTACCTTGAGACTCATGCTAAAGTGCTCCACTTGTCTTTGGGGTAGCGTGATGACTATATATATAATACATCCGTGGAATCCAACTCCCCATCAACTCCTGAAGATGGTGGTATCATGTGGTCTCCGGCTTCATCATCTTCATGAGAAATGATCTTCTGTTCTGGACCAGACTGGCAGCTTTGGCACGGACTGCTGCTCTAGACTGTAGCTGCCCACGTCGCTTCGTCCCGCTGGTTTGTCCCATCTGTCTCAGCCTCCCCTTTTCGGCCTGGAAGTCTTGCTGAACACCTCGGTCTTCAAACCGGTGGTCACATCGGTCAACGTGGCTCCGATTGGAAGACTGTGCTGGATGAAAGAAAGGTGGCTGAATTCCCCCGAAGTCTCTGAGTGCCAAACGAACGATAGGAAGTGATGATGATCCAAGCGAATCCAGTCTCAGCAAATGAGTCTCTTGTGATGGTGATGATTACGGTGATGATAGCGGCTCAAGGATCAATACAAAAACAGACTAGTAGCAAATCTTTATCCACAAAGACACCCATCAAAAAGGTGACTTCATGGTTCTCAAGATGGGAACTTGCTAGTTGCGATTCACCACCAGTCTGACTGAAACCGAGGGACAAATCCCAAACCGCAAGATCAGCATCACCATGACGCGCGCCGAGGAGAAAAGTGAATACCACGTTCAGCAATGAGGCATGTCAATGTCTTTAAGACAAAACCAACAGAAAAACAAAATTAAACAAAAACACAACGTTCAGCGCAACATGACCCATTCAACTCATCCCGCGGACACATTTTTAGTGGGTGTAAAGCAATTGATTGCAAGCGAATGGGTATAAAATAGTCTACATACTATATATATATGAATATGAACATTTATGACATATGACGAATAAATACATTATATAGGTGTGAGATGGTGTGATTGTGACCTATACACCTTGGTGTGGCCAAACAATCGAAATCGGCCTACTCGGCAGCCGTTTCGGCACCGAGCCACTCTGCTCCACCTTCGTCACAGCCTTCTCCAAGAGGCGCAAGTCCTGCTATGGCAGTGCCGGGGAGCTGAAATGAACCTGCAAGGTCATCGATTGGAACCGCATTGGCTCGCTCCTTGAATCATGTGTTCCGAATTGCAGTTGCAAGGGGGTCCGGTTTTGGTCTAATTTTGCCCAAAGATGTCCAAAGCAATCCAGGAGGACATCATGGAACTTGATCCCCCCTCCCATTGTACAGGTTGGGCCAGTGCTCCAGATTTTGTAGTACAAATCGATTTCCCCCACCCCCCCCCCACCCATTGACCCTCTACAGAATCAAAGGCTATACTAAAAAAACAAGCAAATCTCTATAAAAATAAATTCCTGGCCTTACACATACAGTCAACAACACATGAATTCACTATAAAATTCATAACCCCCAGCCCCATTATGTACATTTGTAGTATGTTTTTTGATGTTTTTCCAAGCCCTTTTGGTACTGTAGAAAAACAAGATCACTAGGTTAACTTTAGCAGCACACACCAGAAGCATCTTGGGCCATGATCCTACATTGGTCGGACCCAGATTTTGTAGGGACGCTGTATTCATGTCTTGGTGATATATTTACAGTCTATGTAAATTGGATGGAATTGGATTTTGTAATGTACAGTGATTGTCTACACACTCATATACTACCAAATCCCATGAAGACAAAGTCGCATTATGTACAGCAGTTGTGATTCTGTACAAGGCCACTGTTTTTGTAGAGAGAATGCAAATTTGTATCAATGCAAAAGCAGCACACATCACTGTCAGCTCTTTTTCACTGTGTCCCGCGCTCACGATATCTGGTATATCACCCACATTACCGCATCTTGCTTCTTGATTCTTGAGAATCAAGCCATGCGATCCTACAGCTAAACACGCCTGCGCTGCATCCCTCCCACGAGATGAAACCAAATGGAACATAAAATCGAGTAAAGTCAATTAGAAAGTCATAGAAAATCACTGTATCCAAAACGCTGGATAACGCAAGCATTTCTGCTCCAGTAGGCCATGTATGGCCATGCACTATTTGGAGTGTTTTGTTTTGAAAATTTAATTAGCTGGAACCATCTGGAACCTAGTTGATCCATAGCGATCCCAAGTATTCCTAATTGGAAGACCAGGGGTCCACATCCTGATTCAGCTACGGAATCAAGCTACCTGGTCCTGCTATTGCCACCCCAGGCACCGCAATTCTCAAAGATAGAGACAAGATGAAACAAGAATATCAAACACAAAGCACTTAGATGCACTTAGAGTATATAGACAGTGCCCCCTGTGCATCACAGACTTTCACGCCCCAGGTGCCCAGGTAGCAAGTTCTGCGCCACGCACTATTGCACAAAAACATGCAACATCTGAAATCTACAAACACAATGAACTCTCTGACATGTCTAAAAGCGGTTCACTGATGCATGAACAGGCAAATGTCCCGGATCAGCATCAGCCACGAGTGCCTCTTCACCGACTCAGCTTCAAGCTGTGACTGAATCCGGCAGAACCTCTCGTGAATCATTCTGCCGAAGATCTTGACCGAGTGGCTAGAGTACCTGAAGCTCACATAAGCTGACTCTACAAAATCCAAACGTATGCAGAGTTTCTCTACAAAATTAAAATCTGGAGTGTCTCTCATCAGACCCATTTCTAGAAAATCTGACAATTGAATATACTTAGATGTACTTAGTATATCTTAATATATCTTAGATATTCTTAAATCATCCTAGAATCTGCGGACAAGTTCTACAAAATTGCAATCTGGAGAGTCTCTAGTCTGCAGACAAGTTCTACAAAATTGCAATCTGGAGAGTCTCTAGTCAGACCCATTCAATTCCATTTCTAGATGTTTCTAGAAAATTTGATTCTTAGATATATATATATATATTCAATTATGTTTATATAATTTTAATTAATTTTATATATATATATATTCATAAATTGTCTGCAAACTTCTGCAAACAAGTTGCTCATTGCAGAAGAAAGCATGTGCCGAGGCAACAACTTCGTTCCATGAAGTTCCCACCACACCCTTCATGTCAATGTTGCACCTGTCCTCCTCGTCAAAGGTTGGTGAGTTCGCAAACTTCTTCATCTCGAGTTCCTTCATGCGATTCATGCACTGCACTACCAAGACAGGTCCTGTGCCATTCTTCTTGAAATTGCCTGGGAGGAATGGCACTGCCTTGGCCTTCTGAACCTTCTTTAGCTTGTGCAAACCTTTCTCCTTTATGCTCAACGTTCCCTTCTCCTTCTTCTTCTTTTCCTTCTTAGCGGCTTTCTTAGCGGCTTTGGCTGCTTTCTTCTCTGCCAAAGACAGCTTCTTTGTTTTGGACTTGCCAGCAACTGCTTCATTCTCATCACCCACTGGAGCCTTCGTAGATTTCTTCCTCTTGTTCTTTCGCTGCTTCCTCTTGTACAATCCCGTGGCTGCGGACACGTGAACTGGTTCATCCTCAGGCACAGGCCACCAAGAAGGCACTGTCACGCAGGTATCCATGACAACCATGGAATCTGCTGTCAATGTGACCGAGACTTTGTCCGTCTCCATTTGTGTGTCCGTGACGTCC